TGATTCTTGTAGATCAATTCACATGATGATCATTTGCAGATCACTTTACTGCGTCACATTTCTAATTTTCTAAAGATTATTTGGGTTACAGTATGTATAATGATATAATATAATTATCTGAAAATTTTGTAATATGGGTAGTTTGCTATTAAAATTGAGTTACAGATCATATGATTTACTATGTCTCATACCTCAATTTTAATAGCAAACAGCCCATATATCTTAATTGCATATATATTAGATAAAAGTATTAATTAATACAAAAAAATCTAACATTTCATTCTGAATGCTAAAAACTATAAATACTTATATATTAATAAACTAGCTTTACCTATAACTGCAATTAAGTGTATAATTTTTTCACAAGTATAAATAAACATATAAAAATAGTTTCTTCATCTATTTCATTCATCTCAATAATAGAAGAAATTTCTACTAAAACAATATCAAAGAGTTCAATATAAAGGACTTATCAAATATTTGAAGAAAAAGATTGAAGCTCAAATAGACCTACTTTAAAGTTTTATAAAAGGAAGAAATTGTTAGTTTTGACTTTTTTGAATTATGAGAGGAAAAATTCTGTAGTATTAGTTTTGCGTTAGATTTAGCAACAAGGCTTACAAAATTTATTGAAGGTTGTAGTCAAAAATTATTAAACTACTCCTTAAAACTCTCAATGACTTAAAGAAAATGTTATATAGGAACAAGGTTAATAGAAAAAATATAACAAATATCAAGCAGTTTAATTCTAATGAGTGATTATTATTATTATTTTTTTTTTTCGATTGAAAAGCCATATATGATAACTTATTTTTCTCTATAGTCTTTAAGAAGATTAATGATGATAATAAGATATTCAATTACTATATAGAAGATATAATCTTAAAACTTTCAAATGTGGAAATGATGACAGATACAAATGAGACAACATGTTATGAATTTATTTCACTAATATTATATACATCGATGTCATCACTAAAAAACTTACTTCTCAAGATATTTTTATAGTATTGCAAAGAAATTTTTGGTGAAGAAAAGTTTGAAAGATTCTATATATCATTAAGGAGAAACTATGCAATATCAAGATTAAATATGTTTAGGTAAGACTGTTTATTTTCTCAGTCTATTGGCTTTGAAATAAGAAGATTAAAAGGATGATGTATTCTATCTCTTAGAATCTAGCACAGCTTGAAGTGCATTTTAGACAAATAAAAAGAAATAGACTGCAGATCAGACATTTGGAAAGATTATTTTGACTACATCTATGATATTATAACCACAGGTACAGAGTGGCATTTTATCATATATATTCCAGATGATATTTACTTCACAAGTGCTAGTGAGCATCAGATTAATCTTACAAAGTCCGCTATTAAAGAAAATCCTGAATTACTTCAAAGCAATATAAAAAGGATAATTGGTATCATTGGATTATTGAAGGTTCATGTTAGTGTTGATAGTTCCCCAGCTAACAAGAGGGCTAAAATCAAAATATTTATCAAAAATAATATGTATCCTGGATCTTGTATTTATTTTTGCATGTATTAATAAAAAATTTTTTTATTGGCAAAACTTCCTGAACTGAGATCAGGAAAAACACGTGATCATATTTTTTTTATATTTTGAATGCAAGTATACATGAATAAAATATTTTCGAAAATGGCATCCGAGATTGACTTAGGTATGAAATGATGAAAAAAATTCTGAATTATCTGATCTTAGTTTAAGGAAAATTCAAAACCATGCTTAATATTTATGACGAGACAGCTAAATGGGGTGAAACATACTTCTATGGTGATGAGACAGATAAATACCAGAGAGGTGAGACGTAAAGAGATTGTGGTATTATGAGCCCGTGAGAAATCACCTGAAATGCGCAGTACAATATCGGTGCCAAAAGAATAGGGCTGTGCAATGTAAGATTTGGATGATTTTTTTTTACTTCCATTTCTTCCGAAATAATATTCCACATGGGATTTGGACGTGTACACTAACCATTGCGAGTGCGTAATGAAATTGTTATCGCTTTCTCATGCAGTATTTACAGACGTTATAAAAACCATTTGGAATGTGCTGTACCCAAAGTCTCGTTATGGCGTTTAATAATCTTAAGGCGCTTACTTATAATATTCTTAAAACCTTCGGAGATGATTATCAAAGATATGGAAATTCCGGAGCTGGAATAACTGTGCAACTCCTGTACGAACACGAGAATTCTGCCTCTATTGGATCGTGACCACAGGATAAACTTTCAGCTCTTGTACATGTACTTCCTCATGTATATACAGAAAAGGAATTATGGTCTATGAAGTGGAACTTCGTCAAGGTATTAAAAAAGGTTATGGAGGTGATCATTGATACATGGCGGACCACTCAGTCATTCCTTAATATATTTTTCATCCTAGCACCTCGATCCTATCCTTTCTTACATCACATAATGTGTGCTGTCTTAATAAAATGTATATCATGCCAAAGTCTATAGAGTAAAGCGTGAATTGAATAATTACTATACCCTTATTATAAAACGTAGACACAAAATTTAATAAATCAATTATTAAAGTTTTTGCCATTACATGAAAAAGTATGTATTATCAGCTAATATTTTTATTTTTTTAATTGCATTACATAGTTTATTTTTATATCGTAAAGCCTATATATTCTAATGAAGCTATAAATAAAAAATTTGAAGCATTATTCACTGAGAATATCGGAAAGAATTTTTTTTTCATTGAAAAGTTTTTTTGTTTCTATTGAATGAAAATATATATCATATTTAATAACGATAATGTTCCATATACGTGAGCAATCCTAAAGGTTATTGTAGATTTGTTGCAATTTATTTATAACATTGTTTTCCGTGATGAAGACGTACGGCTCTCCTGGAATTTTAATTTGATGTACGCTGTTTAATACACGAAACCAACCAGACCACAATCAATGTCATTGGGAACATTCTCTTGCCAACAATATAGATTTTTAGTCTCAATCCACTCCGTCCAATTGACTCCATCGCCTAATGAGACCTCCCAAGGAAATAAAACCTGATAAATTCCTGTATTTTCGCCATAACCAGCGGTACTGGATGGTAGTCCACTCCAACCATAATCTTTCATCATCCTACGGCCTGAATCCAATATAAGGCGGAAGTTTCGATTATTTATGTCTTGATCAACATTGTTCATTGTTGCAATGTCGTTAGTGGGATCGTTTTTCCTCCGAATTCGTATAAATACCTGATATTGTGGCAGAGAAGTTCCCAACAAAATTCCCAACAAAATTCCAATATTTATTCGCATAAAAAGCAACACTACCTGCCATTCCTTTAATGCCACATTTGCGGTGGAAGAGAATCTGATGACAACCGTCTGTTGTTTGATAGGAGCATACAACATACCGGGATTTTTCTCCATTAGATCTTTACACTTCTCCATTGATATTTTTCGTTCATAGCCCACTAATTTTCCATGTTCAATATGGACATAATCTCCTTGAGATGAATCGAGACTTCCGGATTCCACAAGACGACGGTATGCAAGTCTGTTAATGGCGAGTTCTTTCCCTTGTCCTTCTATGAAACGGGGATTAGGATCGGTGATATAGTCATATATATCACGGCGTTCGCTGATTTCACTTGTAGAAGGCCATGTGAAATCGGGTCCGGCAAATTCTGTGAAGCGATAATAAAGATACATATAATTTGTATATATAAAAATCAAATTGAGTCAGATTTATTGTGTACCATAAAATTTCTTTATATCCTCATCCTTTAATGGTCTGTATCGTTCAAGTTGCTTGAGGTCCAGTTTCTGAACAAATTCTTCGAACGGGTTATTAAACTTTCCTTTCACTTCGGGCTTAACCTCAGGACTAGGTCTAGGCATTTTATCATCTGTAAGAAGGTCGGTAATATCAGTATACTTGATACTTCATTAAAAAATATCAGTATATCACTAGGAATTACAAACCGTTGATCGATTCAGTTTCAGTTAAGTGAAATTTTTCAGGTAAGACAGAATTCTTAATTACTACGTTGTTAAGTTAGCACGATAACGCCATTAGAATATATAAAAGAACAAAAAACATGATTAGAAATGAGAAACGTACAAATTAAGATGTTATTAAGGTATGCAAGTTTTTCTTCGTCATTTTCACAGAAGGAAAGGGCTCTCTCGGCGCTAGACCTAGATTTCTCATTTATAGTAAAATATGAAAATAAGCAGGTTTTTGGTCCTTGGGCAAAGTTGAGACGAGCAATCTCATTATAGATGTTCGCATCTTTAGTTCCAGATAAGTTAGTCATTTATGATAGGTCAAATTGATACGTTAAACATAATCAGGGAATAACGAACCAGTCTTTTTATCCTTTCTATCAAAGATCTTTCTTAACATATTTAGAATACAAATTATATAAATGTCAAAATGAGTAACTTTGACGATCAGAGTGGTACTTTTCTGAATACATCGTGATTAATGATCTTTATAAACTCTTAATTGGTAACACGAAATATGATATAATGACATAAATGATATAAGCATAGTAAAAAAAAAGTTTATAAAATTAATTTATCGGAAAGCGAAAAAAGTGATTCATACGATTTTATCATTACTCAGATTGCATTCACGAGGTATTTATTAATTCTTCGGTTGTACAACAACAATTAATAGCCAATAAAATTAATTTTAAATTATGTCATAATTAATGTAAGATTTTACGCCGGTATACAACTTTTTTTTCTTATTCCGACCCCAACCCGTCGTTCGTGCTATTTTCTCCGAGCTTGAACTCATTAAAAAGAAATCGATCTATCGTTTAAGAAGTGTTGACGAAAAAGTTATTAAAGTCCGGACGAGACACTTCGCAATTAAGGTATGAATGAAATATATTTTTTCGGCTGTGAATGTGCATTTGCAAGGGAGTGATTTATAGCTTGTAAAGATAATATTTATTTTTTTGTTCAGAAATTTCGAGGACCTTATTAGGCGGAGAAGCGGAGAACATAAACTTTCGGTGAGTATTACTAAGGTCGATATCGTTATTCTGACTCTGCATGTTCTATGCATAAGTTGGGGACAAATGAAATCGGATTAGTATATAGATAATTTAGATGAGCGAAACATCGGCAGGAATTAGTTTAGAAACTCTATTTCACTTTGTAAACAAGTCTATGTATTACCAAATCTTGTAATTTATTTTTTACATCAATAAATCAGTAATTCCGATGAGGATTTTACCTCTTTTTTTTATCTATGCTAACGAACTATTGAATTATTCCAACTTATATATAAAATTATTATCGAACATGCAATCCATTAATTCATTGAGAGAATTAAATTCTAAGCTCTTAGCTGAGATTGCTAAGCTTAGGAAGAAGTTTGCTGAGATCGAGGGCAAGAGATCCACATATTAAGATGAAAAATATTCAATGACATTACCAACAAGCAAAAGTTGAATTGGAATGCTCGTTTACATGTATTTTGCTGGAGAACTTCTGGATGAATTAGATGACTTGGAATACAAAAGAGCCAAAATGATAATGAATGCGTACCAGTATCAGATATCCAGAAAAGTCTTTATCATCTTTAGAGAAATAGGGATGGACAATTATTAAGAATTAAAGTATTGATCATAACGAAAGTCCAAAAGTCCACTAAGACACAGATTTTTGATTTGATTTCAAGGGTGAAATTATTTCTCACTACATTTGAAATTCAAGTGAAAGGAGAATGAATTGTCAACATCAGAAATCAATCTTACTATACCAATCATCAGTAACCTATAGAATGATGATGTAATAAGCCTATCAAATACTGTGCTGAATAATCAACAATAAGACTCCTAATTTTTCTGAACCTGATATCTATGATTTTGCTTACTATGTTTTATATACTTGTTATATCTTATATATTAAATTAACTCTTTTACAAGTTTCAAATAATAAATAAAAGAATCAATTTTAAAATATAATTACTTTTTTTCTTTTATGTGTCTATCATCTAGAATTTGATTGTGAATTACTATACTAATTTGCTTTTGAGTTTATCATTTAAAATAAATAAATTCTCTAAGTTTAATCTAAGTCTTTAAACCTTTAAATTCATAAAGTTAAGCAAAGTAATTTCAAGAAATTACAGATACCTGTAGGATGTAAGATTTTCTAAGGTTGAAAAATCTAACAATAAGAAACTTACTTATTACAGTAAAATACTGTAGAGCGCTGACTAAACCACCTGAGTATTTTACAAATCTACCATTAAATTTGCAAAATATCTGGATAGTTTGATTAGTGAGGTATTTTGGTGGCTTAAAGGGTTATATAGATCATTAATATATAAAGTTTTTTGATGTTCTATTTTTTGTATTACGTTCTACTTTTTTGTATCACATTTTACTATTACATTATTAAAAATGGTTAGAGCAAATAAAAGTGTCAAGTGTTCTAGGTTTACTCTTAAAAAAAAGAACTTGATCAGTTTGTGAAAAATTAATGATTTTGTATTTTTTAAATAATTCAAATAGTGTTTGTGCTACTGCAAGACATTTTAATTTACAACCAAACCAAGTTCATGATTGGAGGAATAATAAAGATTAACTTAAAACCTTTGCGTCTCATTTATTAAAAATTATACAATGGTAGACAAGCATTTTTTTTGGATTTAGAAAATGAGTTAATCAATTGGATTTTAGAATGTAGAGAATAAGATCTTCTAATTACTAGAAATATAGCAATAAAAAAAGCCAAAGAATTTGCAATAACTGATAAATATCAAGAAAAATATCCTAATATTTCTTCCTTTAAATTTTCAAATAAATGGATGGACTGTTCTATAAATCATTATGATCTTTCAAATGGTCGAAGAACAACAATATCTCAGCATTTATCAGAAGATTTACTTGAAAAACAGTAAAATTTTTTGAGTTTTATTCTTTACAGAAGAATATAATATGATTACTCCCTTCAATTTATTGGAAATATGAATAAAACTCCTATAGCTTTTGATTTACCTAATTCATATACTTTAGAAAAATGCAGTTCTAATACTATTAATATCAAAACTACCAGACATGAAATAAGTATATTTATAGTTATTTTGAGTTGTATGGCAGATAGATCAAAATTACCATCTGTTGTTATTTTTAAATTAAAGAATATACATCAAGAAACATTTCCTAATGGTATATTTGTAAGAGTAAATGCAAAAGGATGGGTTAATGAAGATAAAATGATTTGGTAGATAGAAAATATTTGGTCTAAAAGAACTGTTAATTTGTCTAATCCCAATTCACTTCTTGTTTTGGATTCTTTTCGTGATCATTTAGTCAACTCTAGAGCTCTGAACAGGTCAGGTTGGATCAGACATAAAATTGACCTAAATTAAATATACATTTGACCTGACCTAACCTGACCTGTATAAAAAAGAAACTAAACAATTATTATTTTGTTTAATATTTTTTTAAAAAAATATAAAAACATATTGATACATTTTTACATTTGATTATTTTTCAAAAAAAAAGATACTAATAATATTATTTTAACTGCAGAATTTAAAATTACAAGTTACGATAAATCTGCAAATCTGATGAATACTAATTTAATTAAAAAAACATTCATAACTTTACAACCATTAATCCAATCATAATAAAATTTTATATACACATATTTTCAAACCAGCTGAACAACTTTACTTACGCGACCAAAGTTGATTTCCTTTGACCAGAATACTTGAATTGCTCTTTGAAGTCACTGTACAGATAAAAA